ATTACCTCCAGATTCATTTGTTACTTCAAAATCTCAACTATCGTTGAGTTGGCGCCCTTCTTTTCTCTTTTTATTGTTCTCTTTCTATAAATTTATTCCCAGTGACCTTCTTCAGTTGTATCACGTTTGATATTACTAGTCTCATTTCTTTCTTGTCTCATTAGCTCATTATCTCTTGTTATTGTTGTTTATATCTTTAAAGCCACAATCCAGTGCATTGAAGCTAGCCCGAACACTCACTTGAGATTTAGTGTCTCTTTGGCCATTTAAATTTGTTCCTCTGAGCTTAGCCCTATTTTTAGTTTTTTTTTCATCACTTCTCTTCCAGTTCTTCTGGAATTTGGAAGTCTTACACTTCCAAAAACCCAATACTCCCGGAGTATTGAGCGTTTCAATTGGCGCCCAACGCCAATTGAGGTTTCAAAACATATGAGTTTTTTTGGAATTCCTAACTCTTTCATAGCGTTGTAAAGACTTGGTCTTAAGACACTGTCACATGCCGTTTTAAAATCGACAAAAATATGATACATATCAATGTTAAACTCCTGCGCTTCTTCGAGGATCTGTCGTAGTGTCAAGTTTAGTGTAGTGTAATATACAGGGTAGTCCATTTAAAATAGCAAAGTTGCTGTTTACTTCCGGTATAACCGGAAGTAGCATGTCCGTCAAAATATTTTCTTTAAGTTCGTCATAACTTGAACTCCCCATAAACCAATTTTCATAAATATCGTTAAAGTAGTTTCCGATATATAGATAGTGTAAGCTCGTCATGACTCGTTGTTCTGTAGGATCTTCACAATTAGTCGAATTAAATCAAAAGATTTAAGTCAGGTCACTTTAAGAAGTAGGAAATTCCAAGTAGTAATATTTTTTTATCTTTTATTTCTGTATTCGATTGAATTTTGTTTTAAAGAAATATCCTTTTAATTGTCAATTAGGTATAAAACCTTATGTTATCGATTGCAAATTAGTGTTTCTATTAAGCATCAAAAATGATTTCGGGTCAAGAATCAAGAAGTATTAATGGGTTTTTTCATCCCATTTATTTATTAATCTGTCGATTTACTTATCTTTATATGATGTACAGTAGCTGCTTGTTATGACATTGATAATAATAAATGAGTGCAGGTTACCGAGAAATTGTTAAACCTCTCAATCGAGACAATCTATATAAACTTGTGCGTGAAATTTGTTATCTATGGTTAGTGTGAGATGTTCAATATTTATGAGAATCAAGTGCTTCCGAACTGTATTATATCTATTTTACAATTACGGTGTTTTTCTTACTTAATTAATGAACAACCCTTGACTCTACAACCCATTGCTGGCATTGCCCTGTTCCAGGATCGGTCTCCATTTCTTCATATTCTTCGTCTTGTGGTTTTTTAGTTCCGTACTCTCAATACTATTAATGGTTTAAGCTCTTTCGTCCTCCAACCAGTCTCTGCTAAATGCATTTTAGAGGCTCTAACTGATTTATTCTGTTTATGTAACCTAGTCATTATAGCCTAATTATTTTGATGGATCTAATAACTTCAGAAGATATTTCGTGTGGATTTCCTCAAGGGTCTATATTGGGACCAACACCTTTCTGATTTATATAAATCTATTATCCAATTTACCACTGCAGTCCATGTTATATCTATATACTAATGACACCGGTCTTCTATATGCCAAAAACGATCCCAGAAAATTAAAAACTGATGTAGAATAGGACTTAATAGAAATAGAAGAGTGGCTTAAATATCACAAACTCTTACTTCATATGAATAAGTGCAGTTATATAATAATTTCGAATGTAGATGCATATAGGGAGATGCAATTGAATTTTGGACGTTTGAAAAATGACGTTGCAGGGTTCAAAAGCCGCAGTCAGAGTAGATGGAGAACTGACTCCCCTGTTTAACATCAAAATGGGAGTAAGACAGGGAGATGCCCTATCAACCATACTATTCAACCTAGTTCTTGAGGCAGTCATCAGAAAAACCAATATAACCGGATATATAAACACCAAATCAATACAAATTACTGAATATGCAGACGATGTAGCCATCATTAGTAGGAATAAGCCACGACTAATGGAAGTGTTCAAACAAATTGATCCTGAAGCAAGAAAAAGGGGTCTCAAAATAAACGAAGCAAAAACGAAGTATATGACAGTCAAAAGAATAACTGACAATGAAAATAATATCACAATAAACAACTATACTATCGAACGAGTGGATGCCTTTACATATCTCGGCATAGAAATCAATCAGAAGAACTCCGAAATTAATTCACGTATTTCCAGAGGGAATCGTACATACTATGCTAATAAAAGATTGATAACATCGAAATTATTAGACAAAAGAACCAAAATGACTATCTACAGAACACTGATTAGACCCGTAGTAACCTATGGATGTGAAACTTGGGTAATGACGAAAAAAGATGAAGCCCAACTCAGGACATTCGAGAGAAAAATACTAAGGAAAGTATATGGCCCGGTACAAGAGGAAGATGGCACATGGAGAATCAGGAGAAACGACGAGGTTAATGAGTTAAATGAAGGTTATGACAATGTAAGATATGTGAAAAGTCAAAGACTGTCATGGCTGGGACATGTGCAGAGACAAAACGATGCAAAAACAACAAAGAAAATGTTACAATGGAAGCCCATAGGAAGGCGAAAAAAAGGAAGGCACAGAACGAGATGGTTGGATGACGTGGAAGACGACCTGAAAACAATGAACATAAGACAATGGAGAAGAAGGGCACAAGAGAGATCTGAATGGAAGGACATAGCCAGACAGGCAAAGACCCATCCAGGGTTATGATGCCAAAAGAAGAAGAAGAAGAAGTTGAATTTTGGAAAATTCAAATTTAATAGAGCATTCTGTATGAGACCCATCTTCCCACCACCAAGTACGATAACCGACCTACTTCCTTTTGAAATGTTTTTGAACAATTATTTGCCACTGTCATCTGTCCAGCTATTTGGCGTAGTGTATCCTGCATGTATAGATATAGGTTTCATCAACATATACAATTGACTTACCTTCGCTTTTGTAATATTTAATTTTATCCAAACATTTAATGCTTAGAGCTCGAATATCATTCCGTTCAATTAATAAACGTCGATTATCTTTTATTTTCTTCCATTTAAATCCCAAATCTTTCACAAGTCTGTAGAGAGAACCCACACTTCCAATCCACTCGTACCCCTCTTTAAGTCTTTTCTGCAAAAGCTTCAATGATACACGACAACGTTCAGTCTCATAAAAAAGATGTCATGGTTGCTTTCCTTTTAGCAAGTGTTGTAGCAGAAAATTTTAGTGTATTATTTGACTCAGCGTTTGTTATCATACTCGCTGGTTGATTGATCCTTTCTACTGTACGTAAAGATACTTCAGTAGCTTCACTCACACGTTGTTTAATACTGGTTCGATTATCTTCAGGAAATAGTATTTGCATATATTTAAATACATTGTAAACTATGTGACTAGAACTGTGACTAGAAATTCTCGGAAATAATTCTTATGAGTTCTTTGTATGTCCGTAACGAGTCGTTAAGGAGTCATTAATAATGACTTTATAATTACAGTTTTAAGGTTCTTCTTCTTCATGTACCATCTCCTTTCAGAACGTTGGTTACCATCATAGCTATTTTATTTTATTCACTGCCACCCTAAATAGCATGCTTGTATCTACACCATACCAATCTCGCAAGTTCTTCAACCATGAGGTTCTTCTTCGTCCTGGACTGCGTTTGCCTGCTATTTTTCCTTGCATGATATTTTGTAGCAATCTATATTTGGGACCTCTCATTACATGTTCGAAATATTCCAGCTTTCTCTGCTTGATGCTTTTTATGATCTCAGTAGTCTTGCTGAGACGTTCAAGTATTGTGGAGTTACGAATCTTCTCCACCCAGGAAACTTTTAAAATTCTTCTGTAGCACCACATTTCGAAAGCCTCAAGGCGATTTAGATCGATTTTATTCACAGTCCAGGACTCGACAGCATAAAGTAAGACCGAGAACACGTAGCAGCGAAGTAGGCGGATCCTTAATGCCAATTTTAGGTCTCTGTTACATAACACCTTGGACATCCTTCTAAAAGTAGCTCTAGCCTGCTCTATTCTGGATCTAATTTCGCCGTGATTTTCTGCATTACAATTTAATTGCTGTCCAAGGTAGACGATTTTATCAACTTGCTCAAGTTTGGTATTATTTACATATATAGACGGTTTTATATTCTGTTGTTTACTTATTACAAGTATTTTGGTTTTCCTTATGTTAAGATCGAGACCTGCCTCCCTACAACTCTCAACGACACTATCAAGTAGTGTTTGCAGATCTTCTTGACTAGAAGCTAGGAGTACTGCATCGTCCGCATATCGCAAATTATTGATGACTTCGCCGTTCACAAGTATTCCTTCTTGCTTTTCAGAAAGTGCTTTTCTGAAAATTCTTTCGGAGTAAACGTTAAAAAGCAGGGGTGACAAGAGGCATCCCTGCCGTACTCCTCTTTTAGGAGAAGGTTACTGATATTAAATTAAAAATAACAAACAAAAAGTTTGGTATCTATAAAACAATATGTGTACAATCAAACTCCACTTATTATTTAAGTGAGTACTAATTTTGTAATTAGTGCGATTTCAAATAATTTAATTTGTTTAATATTGCAACGCCCCTGCATGGGTCTGATCATAGATATTCTATTGTCTGCGCGATCAACTATTTCGTGGAAGGCTCGCCACTCGACTTGAAATAAGCTGTACAGGGCGAGCATTTTGAACATTTAAAGTGATTTTTTTAAATTACTCTTCAAATTGGTCTTAGTAAACAAATTTACCTATCCTTTAACTGTTATTTTTAATTACAACAAGATCAAGTAATAAATAATATTATCTGAAGCTATTTTCTTGTGGCTCATTTTCAGTAAAAATAGTAAAGTAATAAATAAAAACAGTATGGAATTAAGTCTTTACATATATGTAATAATTTTTTTTTGTTTCAGATTACTTAGCGATAGCGATAAGAAACCGTTCATCGAAGAAGCAGACCGACTTCGAGTAATACACAAACGCGAACATCCCGATTACAAATACCAACCACGCAGACGAAAACAGAACAAAGCTTCTCCGGAATCAATTCATATATCCCACCAACAAAGCATTACCTACCATCATCGTCCGATGAAACAAGAAGACTCGCCTTGTAGTCCAAGAAGCCGCAGCTCCACTTCTCCGTCTACTTGTTCGTCTCAACCCAATAGTCCGCTGATATCTTCCCAGTTACTTAAGTCGTGTGAGCCGCACAGTTTTGATCTAGATAGCTACCCAAGAATTCCAGAAATAGACAACAGTTATGGGCCTGATGAAGGCTTTGACAGTAGCGACTTTGACCAGTATCTCCCCAGCGAGACCTACCAGCAGTTTCACAAAGATGACTCGAACAATAATTACAAAAACAAGAGATTGTGCACAGAGAGCTTGAATAACCCCAACGACGCCTTTAACAGGTACCATGAATTGCAGCCGACTACAGTCGTGAAAACAGAAAAATACTTGGAGTCAAGTACCTCCGCCATGTATCCTTATCCATCACCCTCTGCCGGTTACTATACAAACAACGCTCAGTATTTACCTTCTTATCAATATTTGCCACAAAGGCCTATGTTTGGCGGTTCGTCTACGGTTGCAGGTTTTCCCAACGAGGGGCCCAGCGAAGCTTGGGGACCTTACAGTGTGTGACGTGTTTGTGTATATAAAGTGATACCTAGATTTATAAACACAGAATCTCTTTTTGTAAATCTCTTTTTTCAACTTTTCCCACCGATAGTGTAAATACAGTGTGGATCAAAATAGAAGGGCCAAATGAAAAATTCTCGGCTAAATACAAAAATGTTTTTTTGTTTAAAAAATGCATTTATTTATAACTGTGCTTCTGTAATAATTACTGTTTGCGAAATGAGACTCCGAATATTAAATTTCCACTGTTATCTATCATATTTGATCCGAAGCATTTTCCAGTTTCGAATTTCTTATTATTTAATAAATGATGTAAGTGGGAGAAAGATATATTTGGTAAATGGAATGAAGTTTCTGAGAGTATAGACTTAAAAAAAACGATTTAAGTTTTTCATCACTAAAGAGCGGAATGTATGCAATATAACATTACCTAAATTTGTGCATATAATGCGCGTTACTTTTATAAAAATATTCAAAAATAAAAGAAAATATTAAATAAAAATATTTATGTTTAATACATATTTATTTTCACACAATACAAATGAAATGACACACAAAAACTGGTATTATAATTGGACATAGTTATGCAAAAACCTACCAAACCATAGATTTTTTGTTTTGAGAAAATTTATAATAATGGTTTAAAATACTTTTTGTTTTAATATTGTTTTTTTTTATAAGTTTAAATTCATTCTGTGGCCGCTCGCTAAAATAAGTTGAACTCTATTTAAATCGAATTTCTAATATACTGATTTGTATTTTTTTAAAAGAATTTTGTAGATTGGTAGGTTTCTGTATATTATAAAATAGAGTTTTTACACTGAAGTAAATAAAAAACATAATAAAAAAACAACATAACTTTTAATTTTGAACATAATTATCATGATTAACTTTAAAGTCAAGATTGGCAACATTAAACCCTTCAATATCGTCTACTATATTGCCGTCGGCTTCTAAATTTTGATAAAATTGGTGACAGTCTACCGGAATCAGATGCATCATTTCCCTAATATTCTTTAGTTTTTCTTCTGAAATTGGTTTTCCGTTTGACCATAACTTAATGAGATCTAAAAATACTTCATTTTCTGAGGGGAAATTTCTTTTGGTTTTCTTTTTATGTTACTTTCTTGAAATGGAGCTTCAAAAGAATTTTGAATTATCAGCGTAAACGGTTTATTTATTTTTTTTTTTTTTCTATTCGAATACTTCGAATATGAAGCCAGTTAATTTTGGTACCGTCAGTAGCTATTTTTTGGCTAACAATGTTTTTTTCGACATTTTTTATGCCATAAAACTCAGTCGATCTTATCTTAGTAATAACAAATGGGTTTTTCGTTCGGCAGCTACGCATAACGTTCATGTATTCCTCTGGTGTGTAAAGTCTTTGTTGGTGTTTTAAGCCTAATTCTATAGCAGCAAAATCCGAATCATTTGGTAAGAAGCTGTGTCCTGAATATCAAAATTTCAGTGTTATATCTTCCAGTCAAGGGTACTGTGTAAAATACATTTTGACATTAGAGTAAGCTTAATATTTCGGTTCTGACCGCCATATGAGTCACTCCGTAATATAAGATGATGAACAGTCAGCAATAAGTTACTTTTGACATGTTTAAGGATACAAGAACCTACTTCCTGAGCACCTCGTCCTGCGACGCCCTCACCCCAAATATAACAAAATCTCCTATCGTCGTTTGCACTATGTATGCCAGCATTATAAACCCATAGCTGGCGTTTATAAAAATCTATGTTTGTCGGGATTCTTGGCAGAGACAAAGTTTTTTCTAGATCAAACGTAAGACATTCCGTGTGATCATTATTTTTAGCTAATAAAAAATATTCTCTTCTTATTTTTTGGGCGTTTTTGTCGATCTCAAGGTGTTTGTTGTGCTTTTCTTGCAGTTCTTTTTGTATCTGGATCGGTTTCATTATCTGCTTGAATTTTAAGACTATCGCAAGAGTTACAGGTATCCTTTTTGAAAGTTTAAATTTTAAATTAAATTTTTCGTAAAAAAATTTTTTATATGATGCTTGGCTTACTGGATTTTGGTTTTCTTCACAGTATATACTATACATCTTTTGAAGAGTTACCTCCGGAAGCAAAAATTCGTAGATTGTTTGTGCTTGACAGAAATGTCACATATAATTTGAAAAATTTTTTTTTATTTGATCCACAACAGTTTGTATTGTCTGCTCGCTTAGTTTATTGTGCCCTCCTTCCTTTATCCTTCTTTGATCTGTAATAATAGGTGCTTCGCCTCTTAACTTTTTAAGAGCAGTCTTTATCCTAAAAGATGTAATACCAAAGGTTTTAACTACATCTCCCTACAAACAACTACATCTTCCCTTTTTTAAAATCTCTTCCATATGTGCGTTTTTTGGGAAATTGTTGAACTCTTGCTTAAATGAAGTTAACTTAACAATCATACGATTTTAAAGACTAAAATCTCTTAAATTCAGTTTTGCGTATATCAGTAGAGATCTTGTCATTACATTTTAAAGTACATTGGCAGTTATAGTCCCTAAACTCTTTCGGTTAAATTTTTTCCCCTTGGAATTATAGTACGACTGATTACTATTCTTTCTTATTTTCCTATCTGTCCTATTTTGAGATTCATACTTTCTTTTCCTTCCTTTTTGTGGCCTTCCTTTACCCTCATTTTTCCTCGTCATTTTCAAACAACAATCTCGCAATCATCTGCTACAATATGACCATTGACGATGGAACTATTTCTTCTTTCGATGTAGACGACTCGTTTTCAACTACTTCATAATCAGGATAGCGAATCTCATCATCTTGATCTTCTAAATCCAAAAATGGAACTTGATTTTGATGTAATAAAAGGTCAGGAGAAACCACTCTGCTGGTACTTAAAATTGCATCGCTTATAGTTTCTATTAGCTCTTCCCCTCTTGGATTAATACTATCTTATTCTACTACTTCTTCAACATTAGGTGGTAACCCTCGGCTTGTTTTTTCTTGTCGAGTAAAATATTCCTCTCCGTGATTTTTTGGACTCGCAAGTGTTGCGTATTTTAGTTCGATAAATAACGGTTTTATGGAATTTGTTGCATTATCGTCAGCCTAAATTTCATCAAGTACCGTCCTGATATTCGGATTTTCACCATCTTCAAAATGCATCACTAAAATAATACAAAAACAAGCGTTAACACTCTAGCCTTTCTAATAAATTAGTATTTATTTACCATGTTATGTACTTTTCAACTTTTCTTCTTCTTCTCGTGACTCTTCTTTTATACCTTCATATCGTTCTTCTAGCCATTCTATCTCTATATCTCCTGCAGAATCTTCAAACTGAGATATTTGGTAAACACAATCTTCTCCATGGTGTTTTTCTGCATTTGCAGCCGCTCTTGATCTTTTATCTAGTCATTCTATCTCTATATTTTCGACAGAATCCTCAAACTGAGATATTTGATAAATACAATCTTCTCCATGGTTTTCTTCTGCATTTGCAGCCGCTCCCGATTTTTTATCTTTAGCTAAAAGAAGTAAAATATTTACAAAAAAAGAAGTTGGAACCTAACTAGAAGAGCCGACAGGTTAAAGAAGTCAATTAATCTATAATGTTTTAATATGACTATACCAGACTTACCTTCCTCAAAAGCACGTTCTGCTTTTCATTATCTGTCTATTGAAATTGTCGATTTTAGTAGTTTACACAAAACTAATTGGTTTTTGACACCAAAAAACACAATGATGTGATTATTTTATCTAATTAAAACTTTATTAAGTAAAGGAATCACTCCGGAGATGATACACCTGCCGCTTTGTAAACGTAAACAAACACAGATAAATATTTTCATAACCTCTATGTGGCAGTTTCTGATTTTGCAGAATCCTACCAACCTTTAAAAATTCATACAATTTTTAAAACAAATCATTACAGAAAGCTACCAACCCACTTGGTTGGTCTAAAAACTCTGTGATTTACCAACCAAGTGGGCAGGTAGCCTTTTGCAAAATGGACATATAAACATATTTGAATGTGCAAGGTAAATAAGAGGGTTATAGGTATTTGCAGAATATAAATTGTTTAATGCTAGCTCACTTGGTAGCTTAGGGATTATAAGACAACCGAAAGCTATTTTGGGATAGTAGGTTCCTGCATCTCATAGTATTGACAATAAAAAGTCGTTTTATGAGGGATATTCAAAAATTTCAATTTTGTAGATTGGTACGCTTTTGCATTACTACGTCCAATTAAGACTGTAAAACATACTATCAAGTTATAATTAAACATTTGCAAAATTTTGAACTGAAAGCTTTTGCCTCCTATTACTAAAAATGTGTTTGGACACGGAAAAAGTTTATTCTATATCTACTTAGATTATGGGGCAATATTTTAATTAATAATACAGTACACTTATTTTCCTAGTCGTAAGATCTTCAGAAAAATTGCCTTCAAAAATACGTACAACTTATTAAATTTTCTTATTTATTTCTAATTTTATTTTCTGTATTTCCGGGAATTTTTTTACAATGAGCAGAAAAAGTGTTAATAATATTAACCGAATCATTCAATTGTAAATTCCTTTGTCCTGATGAACTTTAGATCTGGTAAAAGTTCTTTAGCAATTTGTACTTAACTTAAAAATTTTTGAATATCTAACACAATGTCTTTATGATGCAAAACATCTATATATCTAACACCATGTCAAAATGATTTGCGTAGAAAATTGCTGCTTTAATCCATGTTTCCCATCTTGTACTTACGGACTCCAGAAGCAAGCTTACACCTGGTAATTTTATTTTATAGATGTGTACAAGTAAATGACTATTTATTGATTAAATTCACTTCTAAGAACTTCCGCTTCTATGTTTATGTTATGTAGAAGACAAGTGGAAAACCATATTTGAAGGGTACATGGAAAAACCAGATATATATCATTTCTTTTCAAAACTGAGTAAATTTAATTTTATTGTTTAAAATCAATTATTTTTATTTCAAAAAAGGATTATAAACAGTAGTTTACATAAAACA